CATTGTATAGTAATTTTGACTATTTTTCACCCTATAAATAAATATTATTAAATTTACAATTGACACTTCTAGAGTTGATTTTCAAAATATTTATCCTATTTTATTGATATCTAACAAACATGAATAAAAATGATGTTTACGYCAATTATTGAGYTGAAAATTATAAAAAGAAGAAGTTGGTCTGATAAATGCAGGAATTACCCAAGACAGAATTTAGAATTCAGACCATAATAGTATAAAAAACATATTTATAATTTTTATGATATTCTGAACTAAAACAGTTGTAAAATTATATGCATTAATAATAATTTATAGGAAATAYTTAGTTATTGCAAACCCTAAAAATTGACTCCTTAAGGCATTTCACAAGGCTATTATTTAAGGGATTACATTTAGGCTATTTATAATCTTGTCTAAACCACCTGGGATCTAGGTATTAGTTGTAAATGATTATTAGTGTGAGTGAATTTCAATGCTGGTATCATTCATATGAATAACTCGTCAACTATATAAAATTCACTATATGAATTTTTGACATCTCACTGGTTGTTTTGATAAAATTAAAGTTAGTTAACATTGGCTCATTTTAATTCTAAAAGAATATTTAAATTCAGCAAAAATAATGTCAATAAAACATTATACATTTATTAACTTTAATTTGAAAAAATGCATAGTTTCGAGTTTTTGATTGTAGTTCACAATAATTTGAATTTAATTTTTACTAAATGTTCTTAAATGATCAATTTTTTGTAGAGTTAAATATATTTTTTCAGAATAAAAACTAAACAACGCAATTTACTTTAATTTTGTCAAGCAGTAACGTGGCTATTTAATCATACACAAATAATTATTTGATTACTTGTTATTATTAAAATATTACTATTCAAAACTTTTGTATCAGTTTATATTGATAATTGATCTTGGTTGAAAACCATAAAATKAACAAATTTAGTCTATTGGAAATAATCAATTATATATAATTACTTTTTAACAACATTTGCCTGTTCTTCCGTATAATCAGGCTTATTAGTATCTTTCATTTCTTGAAGCTGTTTTAAAAGTCCTAAAATATTAAAGTATTACTTATTTTTTTATTCTTATTAAGTAGTAAAGTATAAATAATATATTGATTTTACCATCAGCTCTGACCATTGGAAAAAGTTTTATTGATTTAAGAATAAACTTTTCTGCTAACTCAAATTGTTTACTTTGTATGTATTTTTCTGCCTTTTCAAGACACTTAAAAGATTCATCTTTATTTATCTCTTTAAACATTTTGTATGAATAAGTAGTACCTAAAACAATTATTATTGTTATTATTTACTTTCATACAATTCCAATACTTATATGACAGTATATTACAGTGTCAGTGCTATGATTAACGAACCCAGGGCAGTTTATAAAAGTGAGGCTCCCTACTCCCACCTCTTGGACAAGTGACAACAAAAATATAATAGTTAAAATTGTACAAAACACCATTAAAAAATTGTGAGCCCTGTGTTGCCACACTATGTGCACATCCCTAGTGCCAGAACTGGTATACTATATGCCATCACTTTTGAGTAAATATAGATATTAAAACAAATAAATATTAAAAACCTTTGTGATTGGCAGAATTTATTTTTTGTATAGGTGTAGCCAAACCTTTTTACAATTTCTATGAAACTGATATAAATATAAGTAGTTGTACAAACTTGATTTGTAGCCCATTTTTGTTTTTTTTGGTGGTTCTTTAGTATTAGCGTCAGTACTAGATGATGAATTTGAATTATCGCCATTATAAGACAAATCTGAATCACCTTTAAATATACAAATATGATTATGTAATGCAATACAATACAATATATTTTTAAGTTATACATACCTGATTGATTTTGTTTCATTGGCCGTTGTTTTGAATGTTTCATTGATGATTTTAATTTTATCATTAAACCTACAGAATATTGTTTTGATTAATGTCATTTAAAATACAGTTTTCATACTAACTAAGCAAAATGTAATGATATAAATCATATATCTACATTAGGGTGTTCCTTAACTATATATGATGAAAAAAAATATCCTAATATTTCTGGTCTCACCCCTTAAATGTGTGCGTATATGTATAAAAATGAGCCGCAAAAATTTGAAACCAATCGGTTAAGGTTAACCCGTGTCGATTTGTAATTTAAGTTTGAACTCCTTACATTTTTCAATATTTACGAAAATTGTCCACATTTCCATAACCTTTAGAAATATCGACATTTTTTATATTATATATTTTGAAGTAAATTAAATTTCCTATAACTTTTATTGTATGATATATTTTAATATCTCAAATGGTTTGTGATGTATATGGAMTTGACTGTAAGAAAACACAATTTAGGTATTTTTTCATACTTATGAATTATAGTGCAGGCTAAAATAATTTTACAAAATTCCCATATGAAATTTTCCATCAACTAATTTGATATAWATTTGCCTTCATATTATCACTGGCAACATAATATTCGCAATGCTAATATATTAATCTAATCTCTTTCACCTAATTATTTCTCTATATTTCCGTACATAAAAATTAAATATCAATAGATTAAATAGTAGGTAGGTACCTATTCGTATACTAAATTATTTTGATATTTGGTCTTGATAGCCGGATATATCTGGTTTTATTTTGATACAATTGTAACTTATAATAAATTAATGTTAGTTTGATTGTAATATCTGTTTAGTGAAGATCTAACATTTATTGTAATTTGTCGTTGTATAATTTAAAATTGATCACATTTTTTACAATCTTAAATAAAAAAATTTCAAAAAAACTGAGAAGTGATTATCAAATATATTTAATCGGACCTGAAGAGACACAAATTCATGGTTCCAAGCTTCCATCAAACGGTTAAATGCTTTCAGTATTCTTTTACAATATGCAAACTGTTAACCTTGTAACCTTGTTACTAGGGAAAGTGCAGCATTGGCTGTGCGTGAATGTTGTATCTTTTGGGAAAAAGCAAGAATTCCTATTCGAGGAATTCAACATCGCATTGATAAATTAACTAATTTATATAATGAATGGCGTAGTCTCCAAAAAAATTCTAAAAAAGTAGGTGAATCATATAGATTAAAAGAAAATTATTTTTAAAATAAATTAAATCTGTTATTCGATATTGCTAATTCCGATGTTTTAAAATTGATAAAAATTGATGTTGATAGACAAATAAGTCCCCAAATCAAGACTTACAATTTATAAGAGATATGAAATTATATGAAGTATTTGATAGAGAAATATCTAGAGTATCAATTCAAAAATTATGCAATCACTTGTGGTATTTAACCAAAGAAACTGCTGCATTATCTTTCTTTGATGATTCTATACCATTAGAGGTAAAGCGTCAGATGGTAAAAGCTTTAAGAAGAAAAGCGATAAAATATCCGGCAAAACGGTTGATAATTAAACCAAACYAAGTAGATGATAAATTTATTGGTAAGTAAATAAACCTTAAGTTTAAAATATATATTGAATACGTTTAATAATTCATAAAATAAAATATAAGCAATTCATTTTATTTTATATTACAAATTTTACAGAAAAAATATTGACGCATTTATATCAGAAGAAAGCTTAAAATTATTTTACTGGTCTAACATTGATGACGAATTCTTAAACAGTGATCTGTATTCCTGAGAATCTAGTAAGTTATATAAATGGTAAAAAAATTATAAATTCATTAAAAATAGTTAACGATACTGCAGAAAGAGCCGTAAAGCTGATGGAACAATACAATATAAATTAACATTAGATAAAGGTCAAAAATGATATATATATATATATATACTAAAATATGTACAAGAACATCATACAATTTATCAAGATTGTAAAAAAAGTTCTTTATTACAACAGTATTAACTTTCTTTATTCTATAGGATTTTTTTTTCATAATAAAAATATTATAAATCATAAACACAATTATTAATTATTCTATAACATTGTTTATTATTACTAATCGTTACTATGTTACTCGTATTTCCAAAGATATTGTGTTTGTTTACGTTCAAGTCAATATACTTCACGAACCATTGGAGATATTAAAAAATATCATACAATAAAAGTTATAGGAAATTTAATTTACTTCAAAATATTTATATAAAAAATATCGATATTTATAAAGGTTAAAAAAATATTTATGGAAATGTGGAAAATTTTCGTAAATATTGAACTTCAAACTTAAATTACAAATCAGCACGGGTTAACCTTAACTGATTGGTTTCAAGTCTTTTGAAGTTTATTTTTATACATATATGCACACATTTTTTAAAATCAAAAATTAAGGAACACCCTAATCTACATATTATAAGGTATAAAGTTTATTTTTAGCTTTTGGGTCTATAATTATCGCTTCAAATAAATTATGAACCAACTACATGTTTTTAAAAGGAAATTAAAATCCTAAAGTGTGATCATAATGCATAATGGATAACACTTAAAATAAAATAATATTATCTGGGTAATAATATTTAATTAGTCTGTTGTAAATAATAATTGTATCRAAAGTTTAGAKGTAACTTACGTTTTGTTTCAGGTGATGGATATAATCTATGAGCTTTAACTGAAAATTTCCAAGCATTATCCAAATCYTTTTTTTTTATGTATATCCTAGTCAACTCAACACAGCGGGAAGCCTCATCTCGGTTGCTCTCCATTATATTATGGAATAATGCACGAATTCGTTTAATGATTAGGCCGTATATTATATCAGTGTAGTTTAAAGATTAAATAATCAATGGTACATTAATATTAGAAGTTATTAATAATATTATTAAGTTATAATTTATAAGAGTAATAAGTATTGTATTAATAATGAAGTCGAATAAATATTTCATATGAAAATTGTGTCAATTGTAACAGTTACCGACCAGAAAAAAACTCAAAATATTAATTTAATGACTAAAATTAATTTCCAATCCATAATCATTAATTAACAATTAGAAAATTGGAAAACTTATAACTTACAAGTACTAAAAACATTTATGCCTTTTTTTCTATCGTCGTTGTTTTGTTTTTGACAATAATTCCTTGTTATCAGTAGATAACAGTGTTTGGATTCATGGACCACGGACAGTTAGTAAGGTCTGTATGTATGTAAAACCATAGAATTTTCTGTGGTAAAACCACGATTTAAGATATTAAATCGTGGGTAAAACCATAGAACAGTAAAACCATAGAATATTCTATGGTAAAACCGTGGTAAAACGCATGGCTGAAAAACCATAGTGTAAATGGTCCTCCATGATATTCTTAARCAAATTACCAATTACCATTTACCATTGACCTATTATAATGGGCAATAGCATAGAACCATTAGAACCTCGCGGCTCGCATAGAACAGTAATAGTCAATGCAAATTACACATTTACACATTAGTTCTTTTTCAGTTTTCTCTCACTGTATTTTGTCCTCATGCTCATAGTCCTCACACCTCATACACATTATGTATATAGTACATAACTATTAAAAAAGATTATCAACACCTGCAGGTTTTGCGACTATGATGGCSAGGCCCAGTCAGATTTTTTTCATGGGCTCTAWACTTTTTTTTTGTATGTWAAAATATCTTGCCAGTTGTCACGTCTTAGTACTTATTCGTATGAATTTTTTTTTTAATTTTACATAACTTGCCTACAAATATTYATTGGATGTGAATTGATGTGCATATAAACCAATTAAATGATTTTCAACGAATTATTTTGAACGTATGATCATAATTCATTTTTACTCTTACTCGTTTATTAAAGTATTATAATCAGATTATCATTTGACAACGTTCGTAGATCATTAACTCTTAAATTCAAAACAATAATCGTGTTTCTGTTTTTTATTGACATTTTAATTGAGTATTCATAAATTTATTCGGAATAGGGATAATATCCTGGTTATTATTTTTTTTTTATGTGTCTTTCTTTAAAAACTTAAAAAAATCAGGTAGGCACACTCGACCGAGCAACACGCTTATCATTATCGCGTAAAAGCTCGGGGCCCTCATAATTTTATTAATACATGAACACTGATATCAAGATATCTTCGAACACAGTTAAATAACTACTACTCATACCTATATAACTTTGGCACTTTTAAATATTCAGAAAAAWTATTCATTATATAATTTACAGTTGGAAGGGGCGTTCTCATTTGAAAAACATAAGTTTATTTCTTCTTAAGGAGTACAAAACATCTCAAGAATTTGAAAATATGATCTTGAAGCATATTTAAAAATATGATTTTGAATAACTGCATTATTGAAAAAAAAAAGGAGTGATCATACTTGATGGATCACCTTATACATATTTAATTTTATAATTCCAACAACTGACAGTAATATTGTATAACGATATGAAGTACTTTAGATATAACATTTATGTCCAAGTAACTATAAGGGTATTATACTACAAGTATGTAAGTAATATGTAAATTATAAAGTAATAATAATATTGTAATAAACAATACATCATCAATTTTTGGTGACTCGGGGTATCCTTCAACCCTAGTACTACTCATTTTTATTAATTTTTTATATGTCGAACGTTAATCTATAACAACGGTCGGCAACTGGCGGTCCGTGGTCCGAATCCAGACCATAGAAGACATAAAACTGGACCAAAGAATGGACCGTCAACATATCTTACAATTTTTTTGTGTTCCTAATATTACCTACACTATTATAAAAATATAAAGATTTGACAAAAATATTTTTCTCTGGACCTCATTTATTTATTATTTTAATTTTCCGGACTCCAATGGAAATTAATTGCCAACCTCTGATCTATAAACCATAAGCTAAATTTAAAATTTAAAGTTGTTTATTTGTCAATCGTCACAAACCAAGATCCGTGCGGCGTGCGACCGTGCCTATCGTCTAAGATAGTAAGATATCGAAGTACCTATTTCGCATACCTTACGCCTATTGCCTTATATTATCAAATACTATTTATAGTATTTTATATTATCTATGTCYAAGACCGTTCACAGAATAGGACATAAATACATAATAATATAATATAATATTTATTTCATATTATATTGGGTGATCAAACAGTGAGTACCTACTGAAAAACAGGATCACTACCTTAAAAATTTTAAAATATCAGTGTGACCAACATTCAATTAAGACTTGTAACTCCATTTTGTTGTTAATTAAATGTTTGCTAATTCTCCGATACAACTATGATAACTGCACGGATAATATCATTTTTAGGCTCGCAAGCTCATTGGTCATTGCCCATTGGCAGTGCTTTACAGCCTGCTATAGTGCTATTCACTTTTCAGTATTCACTATTCAGTATTATTTAACATTTTCTTTSCAGTTGTACTTGTAATTTACAAGTTGTGAGTTGTTGTGGTTGCTACTTACTAGTTGCTAATTCTAAAAATTGTTATTGGCGTGTTGTGTATATTTAGCTATTAACATCAACATTCAAGTTTTTTCTTCCGATTTACGTGCTCCGTGGTAAGTACGAAGTTAAAAGATAGTATATCGTTTGATCCGTGGTCTTGTCCACCAGCAGAGCTTGCTATAAAAAAAAAACCGTGATTTAGAATATGATATTTATAGATATGTTTTGTTTTGTTGATTATGCATTAATCTATTGTTGTGGTTTTAGTTATATATATTTAGACACAAATATAGTTTTTTTCCAGTCATGGAATCAGACAAGTCGACTTTTCAACCCATAGACTTGGTGGGCAAAGTTATAATTAAAGTATGTGATCTTATGCAATTTCAGTCAACTCTATTTATAACGAGAATACATTTTATTTCCTCAGGTCCAGTTAGGCGATGACATAAGAAAAGTGTTAATTCACAATGAGTCTATAACATACGATGAATTATTATTAATGATGCAACGAATATTTAATGGAAAATTAACAGCTAATGATGATCTCACCATCAAATACAAAGACGAAGGTAGAATTATCTTTTCTCGTATTGCTTTAAAATTTAATAAAATTAAGTTATTTAGTACATATTACAATGCCATKTGTTGTGTTTATTTTTAGATGGAGATTTAGTCACTGTATTTGATAGCCAAGACTTATCATTTGCTTTACAAACAAGTAGAGTCTTAAAATTGCAAATATTTATGAATAATTTGAGCTATCAAGAACGACTGAAGTCAAAATTAAATGCTGACGAACTTAAAAAACAATTGCGAGAAATACGAGATGCTGTGACATGGTTATTAGATACAGTAGAATTTACTAATGAAGGAAACAGTAATAATATGCCAAGTTCTACACGTAATAAAAAACAATATCAATTGTTTGAAAAATGTATTTATTTACAAATTATTTTGTTAGAGCAAGAACCAGTGAATATTGTATCACCAGAAATACCAACAGATAATGGCGTTACTAAGGAATTCGATCCATTGCGTAGTTCTAAAGAAGAACGTTCTAAAACTCCACAAACTTCACAGCAGGTTAAATGTAAGTATGATTTTAAAATCCATTATTTTATTTTAAGTGGATGAATAAAAATAAAAATAAATTTAATTAGATTTTAGTATAATATATGCTACCTACATATATTCTATTTATACTAAAATTATAATTATAAATAAATTCAAGATAGTTAAGTTTTTCTGTGGTTAAGACTTATCTTTTAATTTTGGAGTATGAAATAAAAATTAATTATGATATTAATTTACAGAACTTAAATTGTTTCCATTTGTTAATTATTATTTTGTCAGTAATTTCCCTAATCAAAAGGAAAACTTAAAATTTGTAAAAAAAAATGTTATACATTTATCAATTAAACCCCTAAATGTTATCATTTATTCGCCACCACTATCCTGTTATAAAGTCAGAGAAATGATACAAATACCTAACATCCAGTCTCTGTATCTTGTTGTGGTTTTTTAAATGGTTAAATTTAACACTGACTCTCATGTGGTCGTYGGCGGTCATTTTATGGTTTTAAATTTGATGCTTTTGCGACCGCCAGCACCCATAACTGAATATGGTTTTCTATTATCATATTATCCATGGGGTGAAAATAATGCATCCAAAGAAACACCTTGGCAAGCTTCATTACAAATTGTTTGATGTATTAAATATATATTTAAACTTTTTTCAAATGCTAAGCATAATAATATACTATAAATTTGGTTTGACATTGAAAAATATATTTGGTGCACGATAATGGTATATTGTGTGACTACCTGCAGTCGCGTGGCAGTTAACATGTTAAATTGTCGTATTTGTGGATGTATATTTAAATTTTATTTATAGTTAAAATGTTATGTCTGTAGTGTACATTTTGTGTTTTTTTTGTCTTCTTTTATACAACTAATCATAAAATGATAATAGTATCCTTTATTAATTTTTTATAAAAGTCTTCTATTGAATGCATAATACCTTCTCCACCACTCCACTCACCAAAGTTTTCATTTTGCCAAATGTATATGGGTTGCTCCAATTGTAGACAGCCTACAAAAAGATATTTTTTGAATAATACATTTCACATCTCTGTGCCGTATAATGATTTCACAATTTTTGGGAACTACCAGAGCAGCTGCGCGTAACAGATACTAATTTGTCCACCATTCAGTCATGATCTTAACACACACTTTAGGCGCGGATCCAGAAAAATTTAACAGGGGGTGCTCAAAAAAAAAAAAATTTTTACACCTTACTATTTATTTAAATATTACCATTTACTATTTGATTTATTAGTGCTAACTTTTTTTCCATAATAATTGTTATCGGTGCTTTCTGCTGTCAACGCGTGTTGTTACATACGAGTATACTTCGAAAACAATTAACAATAATAGTTATTATTGTCGTATGTGACGAAAAGCACCAATATTATTATTATTATTATTATTTTTATTTTGAAAAATAACAAATAATTTAATWTATAACATAAATTAATTTTGTTGGTGGCTAAATGACAGGGGGTGCCCGAGCACCCATAGTCCCCCCCCCTGAATCCACGCCTGACACACTTAGTATATTTACAAATTTGTATCTACTTT